GAGTTGAATGTCTTTATCTCCTTATATCTTATACAGCCCAAGAACTTTTAAATGCTGCATGTGTATATGATGTATATTCGGGGATAGTTTTTTGTTTTTTTCCCCCTGAACATGAAATGGTCCTTCAACAGTGTTGAAGCTATAATATGCTGCAGTTAAACTGATTCAGTTGGTGTACGAATGTGTGAGACACACCTCTTTTGCACTTATGTACATAGTCCATGAATAAAAAAAATAATAATAAAAAAAAAAATATCTTGGAACATATTTTGAATATAAAAGTCCATTAAAAAAACAGGAAAAGTTTGTAAAAGAGATAGGTATTACTAAAGCTTTGAAGAAGGCATTTTGCTATTATAAAAATAAAAATAAAAAAATATTTCAAAAAGCATGATGTTCTGTCGCTATTGCAAAAAGCTTTGTAGCTCGCCATAGCTAATGCAGCACTTGGTCAATTCTGATTTGCAGCATCGAGGCCCTATATCACTATATGCTGTGATTGCAGTTTTTTGTGGAGAAGACCAGCTACAATCATTAGAACAGACCTACCAGAATTCTGCAATACTCGGTGTTCTATAGAAACAGTCATGGATTCTTCATAAAATCATGTAACACTGAGATCCGTGGAATCTCGTTAATAGGTTAAACTGATGATTTTGTGGTTGGGTCTCTCTCGGGATTAAAACATTGCTATAGGAGTTCCTTCACAGAAAGGGGGTTGGAAAAACAATTATGTAGAGAATGGATGAATGCTTAATGGTTCAGTAGCCATATGCACCTAAATTTGAGACAGTAACAATAATGTTAACTTGGTCAACACATGTTAGAAAAATGGCAAAATATTGGCCTGCTAGCATAACTCTATTTAAAAAAAACAAAAAACTAGTAAATCCTTTCTTCACTACTAGCAGAGTGGCTTTACATGTATATTGGGGACTTGTTCAATGATAAAGCAAGCATGAAAATCGTTATCAAACATTTAACCTTTTTTGCTGCTAATGAGGTAGCAAAAAAATTAAGGATTTTGCCTGTTACTTAGTGTAAATATATGATGGTATTAAGTTAGTGCTGTTTCTCCTTCCTATAGGAAGCTTTGGGATATGAAATAGGTAGTTGCTCGAGATGTACATACATTGTTAAGAGCAATATTAAAATGTTGATTCTTAAACTTGATATATAGTGCACACCCACATACACTTCCCTTTTTATGACAACTGGTTAGCATTCCCAAGATAGTCCTCACAAACACTATTGCTTATGACAAATGGTATGGAAGAGTACATCTAAGTGATACTAAATATAACAATGTTACCTTTGTTCCAGTTGACCTATCCCTTTCATGTGCTTGAGAGGCAACAGCTTAATGAGGGACTCAGCTGAATGGAAATATTTCAGGGTAGATAAGGATTTCACAGTTCCAGTTCTGCAGCAATTCCAATAATGTAGTTATTGTCCCTCAAAGCTCTATTTAGAAAGAAAAGAGACTTCTGTTGCATAAAATTTAGTATTCTAGTAGTTTAGTTATTAGTGATAACCTATGGCGGAAGCTTCTTGCTCAAATTAAAGACTTTTATTTAAGCAAGTGATGTCTGAACATCAATCATAGGGTTTGGATTGATTTGAGAAAGGCATTTTCATCTTTATACAAAACCCATTGTGAGTGACGCAGAGTTCTGTAATTATCTTCCCTTGGATCATCCATATCAGCTGAGTTTCTCATTGGCTGTTGAGACACTCATTCAGAGGCAGTTCATAACAGTTTGAAAATACAGGATCTTCATAAACTATTTCTTACAGAGGTGGGGGTGAAAAGAAAAAAAAACACGTTATTTTTATTTAACGTTTATTTTAAATTTAGAAAGGAACCTATTTTTATTAATTGGATAGGTGTTTTTTTTTTAACATGATATCTTTCCATAATGTAATGTTTTATATAGAGATATATTTGAATTATTATTTATTTGGAAACGTCAGAATTCCTCTCTATAGTACCAGATATACCCTTCACAGAGCACTGCAGAACCCAATGACAATAAATGCAATGTGTAACAGGAGTGCCTATGCAGGAGAGCTGTGAAGGAGAGTCTTTCTTAGCCTCTAAACCGCCAGACTCATATTATTTTGTATTTGCCCGTTAACGTTCTCAGACACGAAACCCTTAATGAAAGAGATTCCAAAGATGGCCAATGCCACTTTACTTGTGTTACAAAGAAAATCTATGCAAAAAGTATCATTTCTGGGAATGTTTATAGTGAAAAACACAAAGTTTAAGATTTTCATTTTCAAAAACTTTTTTTTTGTCCTTGAAACAGGTATGGCCTAGCACTTAATACATATTATTTTGGGGAAATTACATCAATTGATATCATGGATAAAACATTATAAGCACTAACAGGCAATTTCCTTACGATAACAAACTTGTTTCACACATTAATTACTTGTAAACTATTATCCAGAGCAGCCCCTTTTGTTTGCTACCGATTTTCATTGTCTGCTTCTACGTGTTCGACAGGATGTCTAAGTCTACTTTGAAACTGGCAGGAACTACACGTTGATACAAATAAAGCTTCATTTGGTTTTGTGAGGTTTTCTTTTTTCCAACCTTCACACATAAGATCAAGTAAACCTGAAAGGATGTCTTATATTTCTAGTGGTCTTCTACTGTACACAGTAAACAGTTCTAGGTGGTGGTGGGAGGTGAAATAGTTTGTTGCCATTGTGCTTCGTGTTCTAGCAGATGAGGGGATGATAGGCCAATTAGAATGAAAATGCTTTTCTTTCCGTAAAAAAAAAATTATCATGTCATATTACAACATTTTGTAACAAAATGATACCGAAATATAAATCACATAAATTCAACAGCACGGTGAGCCACCATACAAAATGTTTTGTAGTAATGGGTACCCACCATCCCCATTGGGCTGTATATGCCTACCTCTAATAGATGCATTGACTAGAACCTTAGTAACATAAGACTTGACAGCAAGTGAGATATGTGGTCTGCCTTGCTATTTCTTGCACACTGTAAGTATTCTGGCATCGGGATTATGTACAAATCTTATGTCGAGAGCTAGGGATGGGAATACATAACAAACAATATGTTTAACTGCTACCAATTGTCATTATAAGCACATTCTTGAAATTAGATTGCAATGGAGGTAAACCTAGTAAAAGTAAAATGTGGATCATAAAGACACCAGTGAGATTCTGAATATTATGAACCACAAATTTCAATGTGATAATAGGCTCCATAGAGAAACATGGTTATTAACAAATAATAGCTAATAACTAAATACATATTGGAAATGGTCAGTGTAGTTAAGTCTTAGATTTCTCCAGAAATTGTGATATGAACAGCCCCATTCCTTATGAGGAGCAAGTTTGTGTAGATGGAAACTAGTAAAATAATCTCATGTGCTCGTTACCTGGTCTAAGGTTGTAAACGGTCAACTCGTATATGGTGCTAGAGATGGTATGGTGTAGTGGTGGCTTTGGCTCTGTGACTGTATGGCTGCCTAAACATCTTGGAAATGTATTCCATAAGTAATGTAATGCTGAGGCTAGCCATCCCTGTTATTGTAGGTTCTCTTTGGACTAGAAGGGCTCTTTAGAGTAGGATCACCTTTGAAACTCACTGTAACACTTGTCCAACCATGATGCTCTTGAAATCGAGAACTATTCAGAATTTGCTCTCTTGTGTGTTTGAGCTCTAGAATGTAATAAAATTCATTCCCTCAACTGCTATCAACAGGATGTATGCTTTCCATTTTCTCTTTTTTGCCAGATTATATCGCTGTAGTGCTTGTATGTGCTTTAGAAATGTGCATAATGCTACTCATTTTAGTATGTTACTTCTATATTGTTGTTTATTTTTTGATCTTTTAATAAAGTATATAAAATTCTTGCTTACACCGTTTGTTCGTTGTGTTTTTTTTCTCTCCACCCAAAAACTCTGTTGTGGTTCTTCAGTAGAAATTCTTCCATTCGTTTTTTTAGATTACAAACAATTTTCTATAATATGACATATTGTCCGATGTATACAGGTCTATACATTTTCTTGAAATTATTGTCTTAATTGTAGATTTGCTTTCATGCTGTTTATTAACGTGCAGGTGACCAATTCATATGATCTATACAATTTAAAGGACCACTCTAGTCACCCAGACCACTTCAGCTTAATGAAGTGGTCTGGGTGCCAGGTCCTTCTAGGGTTAACCCATTTTTTTATAAACATAGCAGTTTCAGAGAAACTGCTATGTTTATGAATGGGTTAAGCCTTCCCCCAAAGCCTCTAGTGGCTGTCTCATTGACAGCCACTAGAGGCGCTTGCATGCTTCTCACTGTGATTTTCACAATGAGAGCACGCAAGCGTCCATAGGAAAGCATTGTAAATGCTTTCCTATGCGACGGGCTGAATGCGCGCGCAGCTCTTGCCGCGCGTGCGCATACAGCCCAGGAGGAGGAGAGAAGGAGGAGAGCTCCCCGCCCAGCGCTGGAAAAAGGTAAGTTTTTAACCCTTTCCCCCTTCCAGAGCCGGGCGGGAGGGGGACCCTGAGGGTGGGGGCACCCTCAGGACACTATAGTGCCAGGAAAACGAGTATGTTTTCCTGGCACTATAGTGGTCCTTTAATTTATGATTTATTACAGACCTCTATGGCATACAGAATGTTAAGCCAAATGATAACACAATGCAAAGCAGACGCCTTTTTATTTAGCATGACATTTAATCTGTGCATTTTAATGGATACTTTGTTAGAAAAATGTCCTATCAACAAGTGTTTGTGGTGTCAATGTTTTGGCGATTCTTCTCGTGGTGGAAGAACCAAGAACTTAATCGTTAGTTATTTATACACAACAATAATTCTTGTGCCTCCTTTATTTTTTTAAATCATTTCATCCAATCAGATTGCATTGGTTAAAGATGTAACTAACCAAACCCCAATTTATATTTTCAGTAGTGGCCACCTGCTAAAATCAAGACAAAGCTTGTGAGTCCTACACTCACTAGGGGACTCTTTTCAGGTTTTCAGGACTTCTTTTCAGGTTTAAAACAAAATCTCTAATGAGACGGATCTATGTCAGATATATAACTAAGCATTAGCAATACAATTTTTTCTTTCATTTAAAGAGAAGCTATAGGCTAGGAATAGTGATGTGCCGAACGGTTCGCCACGGACTCATCATTGAGTAAACTATGACCCTGTACCTCACAGTCAGCAGACACATTCCAGCCAATCAGCAGCAGACCCTCCCTCCCAGACCCTCCCACCTCCTGGACAGCTCACTAAGAATGCAGCTTCACAATGAATGTAAAATGGATGCTGTCCAGGAGGTGGGAGGGTCTGGAGGGAGGGTCTGCTGCTGATTGGCTGGAATGTGTCTGCTGACTGTGAGGTACAGGGTCAAAGTTTACTCAATGATGAGTCCGCGGCGAACCGTTCGGGACATCACTAGCTAGGAATACAAATTTGTATTCCTAGCCTATAGTGCCAACCTTGCTTGTGCCTCCTTCCCCCTGCAGTGCACAAAGGGTTAAAATGCATTTTAGAACAATAAAGGCTCTGATTCAGAGGTTAATTCAAAATTGAATTAAATAAATGGATAAAGTAAGCTCAAATGGATAAAGAGCTTACTTTATCAATTTATTTAATTCACTTTTGGTAGCACTTATGGATTGGTTTAATTGATCTTTTTAGCTACTAGGACAGGTATGCCTTTGGATGGTCTATCACTACACATTCCTCTTTCCACCTCCTTTCTTTTTCCCTTTTTATTATTTTTCCTGTCCTATTTTAATTTTGCTTTCCCTTAGGATTATTAACGGTAGGGACCCCTTCCCCCCATTACTCTCCTGCTCAGGACTTTTCTAGTCCCATTTCTTGCTTTTCTTATACTATTAAAATCCATTTTGTCACTTACCTGAATCCAGTGCCGATGTCCCTGGGCAATGGGTCTGGCTCCGCCTCCGCTGCAACTCTGGGACCTAATGTGCATTCACATCGAGCACTGCAATCGCATTAGGAAACCCTACAGGAAAGCATTGAAATAATTCTGATTTTAGCTGACGCTGGATGTTCTCATGCATAAGGTGAGAACATCCAGCTTCAGGTGACCAAAAGTCACCTAACGACACGGAAGCGCCTCTAGTGGCTGTCTGGTAGACAACCACTAGAGGTGGAGTTAACCCTCCAAGGTAATTACTGCAGTTTCTCATTAACTGCAATAATTACCATTGCAGGGTTAAAAAGACAGGAACTGTGCACATAGACCACTTCAATGAGCTGAAGTGGTCTGGGTGCCTACAGTGTCCATTTAATGAAGTGTTCTGATCTTTCCTTTTCAAATTAAAGCTCAGGATCAAAAGGGACAAAAATAGAGGAAATACTCAGATATTGTAACCCCATGTAGCCAAAGCGCAGCTAAGCGGGCATAGGAGGAAGCAAGGAAGGAATGGAGTTATGGGTAAGTAGGCTTGGCTATTTAAATAGGCATCCATTTTAAATGATTCACTTTTAATTTCCTACCTGGCTGAATTTGTCCCTCCCATCCTCCCTGAGTTTTTGGTTGCTGATTTGGGTTATCCCGTTTTTTCACAGCAGCGGGATAGGGAGCTGAAGGAGAAGAAATAGGCTCCCTAGGATGAACGTCATGGAGACGGAAAACTGTGGTCATTGGTGGTTGATAGGTTTCGAGTCCTGTCGGTGGCTCAGAACCTGGTGGGGTAGGGGTATCCGGGTATACCCCTGCCATGGTTAATTTATGTTTGGCACTTTAAGTTGGTATGTTGGTATATATGTTATATATATATATATGTTATTTATATGGGGGTCATTGCCTTTTATATCAACAGAAGGATTCAGATGCGAGGGCGGAGTATGGGGGGCAATGACCCATGTTTATTTGTTAAATTATTATTATGGTTATTATTATAATTAATAAATTGTTATTATTCAGGATTGTTTAAATAAAGCTGTGGCCAAATTTTCCCATATTACTGCGTGTCTGTGCATTATTGGTTTAGGTATGTGAGGGTTTGTCCTGGAATCCGACTGCCCATATGGCGACTATACACCGGTCATGCTTACATGAGCCTGCCCTATCATATTGGCTCAAGTGTATAACTACAGTGATGTCAATGTGCACAGCCTGGTTGGCAAACTGTGGGTGTTTTCCTAAGAAGATACACAACCTATAATGAGAAGTTAACCTGGTGAAAGTTTTGCAATGTTTTATAGCAGAACACTTAAAGGAACCCTATAGCCACCCAGCCGATTTCATCTCAATTAAGTTGTCTGGATGCCGAGTATTGTCGTTTTAACCCTGCAATGTAAAACATTGCCATTCTGCAGGAACAGCAATGTTTATATTGCAGAGTTTAAATGTGTATAGCGGTTGTCACTCTGCTTCTGTCCAAATAGCCAAGTTCAATCAGATGGCCTCATAGAGACCATCTGATTGGTGCAGCATATTGTCACACTTGTGCACTAGCCTCCCATTGCTTTCCTATGGGAAAGCATTGGATTGGCAGAGATCATAAGTCTTGAAGATCTCAGGCTTGGAGGCTGGACAGTAGTGCAGAGTTTGCCAGTGCGAGGGAGAAAAATTCAGTAAAATAGATTTATTTTGTGGAAACATGGGGGTGGGGGGGAACCTAATTAATTAGAAATGTACTGTAGTGTTTGCATTCCTAAAGCTATAATGTTCCTTTCATACAGTTGCAAAATTCCATATTTGAAGCACACAGCGTATCCTTATGGAGAAACCTAAAATTAAAAAAATTACCTATTTAGGTATTTGTGGATCGGTGGAGGGCAATGTTCAGAGGGCAAGGCCTGAAATGCAGTCTCCAATCTTGCAGGCTGGGATAGTAGGACGTGTTTGAGGTTGACCAGTAACATGAGGGAGTGCAATCCAGGGTGGAGAGTAAACAGTGGAGAAAGTGCGGTTTTGAAGGAAAGCCATGATTTAGATTGTCCAAGAGGTAACCACTCTAGTATCCTGTGAAAGTGAATCGCTTTATGAAATAGGAACAAGTCAGGGAGCCTCAGTCCTCCCTTAAGGTTGGGTCTAATGAGTAAGGTTTTCTAAAGACGGATCTACGTCCCTTTGAAAGATAGTTTAGAAATAGGTATTTGACGTGGGCAAAAAAGGAATGGGGAATGTGCACCAAGAAGGTATGGAGAAGATAAAGAAACCTAGGCAACACATTAATTTTAAGTACTCCCACCCTTGCCAACCAGGTGATAATCAGCAGAGACCATATGCAGGGGGGGGGGGGGTTAAGAGGAAAACCCTTGGAATGAACAGAAGGGATTCGTGTGCCCAGGTATGTCAAGGCTTTTTCAGAACAATGGAATGGAAAATACGCTCTAAAGGATTGTGTCAACGTGGGCGAGAGATGGACACCCATGACTTTAGATTTATTACAATTAATCTTAAGGTTAGATAAGTGTCCAGGGTTCAACCTCTGACATCACGGATGGCACAGAGGTAGGAGCATCGGACACAGTAATGTACGCTGCTAGTTTATGTTGTTGTCCCTGCACCTCAATGCCCATGATACCAATGTTCACCCTTACATATTAAGAAAAGGCTCTAAGCTGACGACAAATAAGAGTGGGGATAGTGGGCACCCTGTCTCTTCTGTTTTCCAGGCACCCTGTCTCCTCTGTTTCCCAATGTTAAAAGTGGAGGACAGGAAACCATTCACAATTACCTTAACCTATGAGAAGGAGTTCAGAGAGGAGATGCAAGTGAGCATATGAGGGGAATTGAAATGTTAAGCCCTGTATATAGAAACATATACCCAAAACATGTGGCACAGTATGGCAGGCCTAAGCCCAAGCCTTGTTTGTCTTGGTGAAAATATGTCCCAGACTCCAACTCTAATGAAAAAAAGAAACATTGTTCTAGAACTCCCACAACTATGTACAACTATCCAAAGACCATACTTCAACAGTAGCCACTGTGCTCCACTGATGATCAGAAACTGCTCTTGCTAAGTACTGTGTTAGGAATAGTGACATTATATTAGTATTGCACTAATAAAATTAACCCTTCACACTTTTAAATATAGCATGCTTAGTTGGAAGGACTCCCCTCACCCACCCCCCAATATTGCCAAATTAGTACAAGAGCGAGGCAGCAAGTAAAAATAGTGTAGGTGCTTTGATAGCCTGGCCCTGTGTGGGCTTGTACAATGGTTGGTTGCCTGTCTCTTATGGCCAGATTTCGTATTAGGCAAAGTAGACTCCAGCCCTACAGGTGCATTCCTGATGGGAGATCCTATTCTGCCTGTTAAAGGTCCCCTTCCTACCTCCTGCTCAGTGTCTGCTGACAGAAACAGAAGCCGCCAGACTAGTATTGCTGTATTCAGTCTGAGGAAGCCTAATCTATGTGTGGCCTGCCCCTCTCGATTGAACAGAACATTCTCCTGTAGGGAGAGGTCTGGAGACAGAATGTCTAAATCAGAAATGACAGACACACATACTCTGCTAGCCTGACTGCTACTCATATTGCTGCCCCCACTACTATATATGCTGCTGCACACAATGCTGCTACTATCCACACTGTAACACACACTATAAACATCTGCTCCATATACTGTACACACATATACATTAATACTCATGCTGCTCCCTACACTGTGACACATACATTCTGTTACCCATACTATACACATACACTACTATACATGCTGCTCCCCACACTGTGACACATATATTCTGTTACCCATACTATACACATACACTACTATACATGCTGCTGCCCACACTGTGACACACATTCTGTTACCCATAGTATACACACACAATACTATGCTGCTGCCCACACTGTGACACATACATTATGTTACCCATACTCTACACATACATTACTATGCATGCTGCTGCCCACACTGTGACACATACATTCTGTTACCCATACTATACACACACAATACTATGCATGCTGCTGCCCACACTGTGACACATACATTCTGTTACCCATACTATGCATGATGCTGCCCACACTGTGACACATACATTTTGTTACCCATACTATACACACACAATACTATGCATGCTGCTGCCAACACTGTGACAAATACATTCTGTTACCCATACTATACACACACACACACACACACACACACAATACTATATATGCTGCTGCACACAATGCTGCTACTATCCACACTGTAACACACACTATAAACATCTGCTCCATATACTGTACACACATATACATTAATTCTCATGCTGCTCCCTACACTGTGACACATACATTCTGTTACCCATACTATACACATACACTACTATACATGCTGCTCCCCACACTGTGACACATACATTCTGTTACCCATACTATACACATACACTACTATACATGCTGCTGCCCACACTGTGACACACATTCTGTTACCCATACTATACACACACAATACTATGCTGCTGCCCACACTGTGACACATACATTATGTTACCCATACTATACACATACATTACTATGCATGCTGCTGCCCACACTGTGACACATACATTCTGTTACCCATACTATACACACACAATACTATGCATACTGCTGCCCACACTGTGACACATACATTCTGTTACCCATACTATGCATGATGCTGCCCACACTGTGCCACATACATTTTGTTACCCATACTATACACACACAATACTATGCATGCTGCTGCCAACACTGTGACAAATACATTCTGTTACCCATACTATACACACACAATACTATACATGCTGCTGCCCCCACGTTGACACATACATTCTGTTACCCATACTTTACACACACAATACTATGCATGCTGCTGCCCACAATGTGACATACATTCTGTTACCCATACTTTACTATACACACACAATACTATACATGCTGCTGCCCACACTGTGACATACATTCTGTTACCCATACTATACACACACAATACTATGCTGCTGCCCACACTGTGACATACATTCTATTACCCATACTATACACACACAATTCTATACGTGCTGCTGCCCCCACTGTGACACATACATTATGTTACCCATACTATACACACAATACTATAAATGCTGCTGCCCCCACTGTGACACATACATTCTGTTACTCATACTACACACACACAATACTATACATGCTTCTGCCCCCACTGTGACACATACATTCTGTTACCCATACTATACACACACAATACTATACATGCTGCTGCCCCAACTGACACATACATTCTGTTACTCATACAATACACACACAATACTATACATGCTGCTGACCCCACTGTGACACATACATTCTGTTACTCATACAATACACATACAATACTATACATGCTGCTGCCCACACTGTGATACATACATTCTGTTACCCATACTATACATATACACTACTATACATACTGCTGCCCACACTGTGACACATACATTATGTTACCCATACTATACACATACAATACTATACATGCTGCTGCCCACACTGTGACATACATTCTGTTACTCATACAATACACATACATTACTATGCATGCTGCTGCCCACACTGTGACACATACATTCTGTTACCCATACAATACACATACATTACTATGCATGCTGCTGCCCACACTGTGACACATACATTCTGTTACCCATACTATGCATGATGCTGCCCACACTGTGACACATACATTCTGTTACCCATACTATACACACACAATACCAGGGGCGGGCTGGGCCGGGGGGCAGGGAGGCAATTGCCCCCCAGGCCGCCCTAAATTCCTGTAAGGCCGGCCGCGGCGGGCCGGCCCTTTAAATACTGCAGCCGCCTGAGCGCTCTGTTAAGAGCCTCAGGCGGCTGCAGCTTCTCCCCTCCCCTCCCCTCCCCTGTAGCGTGGCCGAGCTGCACTCCAGCTGCACTCCTGCTACTCCTGCTACTCCTCCACAGCAAGGTCCTGGAAGGTAAGTAAAACTAGTTTTACACTTTCATTATAGTTAGTGCATTCACTAAGCTTAGGCACACGGGACATTTAGGGTTAAGTGAGGGTACAAATTAGGTTTAGGTAAGTGCTTCTAACCTCTCTCACACTCTATTCTTACCCTAACCCTTGGGGTAAGGGTTAAAATAAAGTGTGAGAAATCACTATTTAGTGATATTCCCCAAATGTGAAATATCACTAAATAGGAACAAGTCCCTAATCCTAACCCTAATTTGAACCCTAACATTAACCCTAAATGTCCCATGTCCTAAGCTTAGTGAATGCACTAACTATAATGAAAGTGTAAAACTAGTTTTACTTACCTTCCAGGACCTTGCTGTGGAGGAGTAGCAGGAGTGCTAGCACGCATGTGCAGCACAGGATCCAGCTGATTCCCCTCACCGGAAGTGACGGGGGTATAGCAATCTGACGGAGTATACCAAACTGATAGAACACCGGAGTGATAGGAGGGTGCACACTGAGTGTGCACTTCCTGTCAGTCCGGCCGGTTACAGGAAACAGAAACTCCTGTTCCGCGCGGAGTTTCTCTTTCCTGTTACCGACCGGACTGACAGGAAGTGCACACTGAGTGTGCACC